TGAAGAGAACAGAGGCGAAGTTATCGTCTAATATAAAATTACATGTTTAAAGTCTTAGGGTGGGATATAAGATCAAATATCATCTGCATAATAAGGCATTTAAAGTATCTTAGGCAACCCTCGTAGCATATAGAAACATTGCATACACAAAAAGGCAAGGTAGGTAAAGGCATAAGCAAACTCCAAATCTTGCACAGAATGTAATGGACATATGCAATTGGATTTGTGCTATGGATTTGTTGTGGATCACAAAGCAATTATAATTGACCCAATTGGCATATGAATGTGTGTATGATTTGTGCACAATGTCCAAGTAGCTACATTCTTCTTCGGATTTCATCTATTCACTGATTTGGCCGCAATAATTGCAAAGCAACAACCAGAAATGCAAGAAAACTCAAAGACAGATTGCATGAATTTCATGTTCCCTATTTTTCTAACATATCAAATTATTGATAAAATTGGTGTGATTTTCTTTAATTTTATTCAATTGGCTTTTTCTATATTAATAATGTGTTTTAGTTGTTATCCAAGTATGCATGATGGTATACCTACTAATTGCAGATTGAGATGATCCACTAAACAGTGTAATTAATTGGTGATTTCTTGTATTAGTTACCCTAGTTATGCTATCAAATTAACTCGTTAACTTGTACTTCGTAGTTACTAAGCTTATAGCAAAAGCCAAAAGGCCATGCCAAATGACGAGATTCTTGAACCTATTTTTACTCCCTTCCATTTTAATAAGTTGGTATATATTCCCTCTGTTTTTATTACTTGTTCCATTTAATTTTTTTGAAACTTTTAACAATATTTTACCTTTTCCCTCCCCACTAGGTCACAACTGGTCTCCTCATATCATATTTTAATATTTTTTTTTATATTCACTCTTCTCTCCACTTATATCCATCCGCACATGAAGAAATGAAGCAATTAATAAAATACAGAGAAAGTACTTTATTTCTCTTACGATAATGAAATTCTCTTTTTAATCCTCCCTCAATCCACCAGTGGCGGAGCCAGGATTTTCAACTTGGGGGGACAAAATCGTACACCGAATCTTCCTCTAAGTATTGGACTCATTTTCGTTGGACCCATTTTTATTGAGTTTCGTTCTTTTAAACAAGAATTGTCGAAGATCGGGTTGTTTAGTTGCCTTGGATTTGTTTGAATTTGGTGAATCTTTTGACATTTCCTAATTAAATTGAAAATTATATATCAATTTCCACAATCCACATCATTACATAATAACAAAACCTAAGATTCTAATTTCTAAATTTCTAATTCAACTATACATTTCAATAATTTAAATTCTCAAAAACAGGGGAAAAAAATTAAATACCAATAATTCAGAGATTAAACAATTCAATTTTCAATAAGTTCAATACTTCAAAGTTCAAAACTTCAATACCCACAAATCAACAAATGACAAATCCACAATCATTCTCAATCGAAATTAAACAAGTTGATATATACAACAATTTCATCAATTAAACAAGTAATAAGTTGAAATTCGTCTTCAATACCCACAAATGACAAAATCGTCAAATCCACAATAATTCTCAATCGAAATTAAAAAAGACTAACAAGTAATAAGTTGATATATACAACAATTTCATCAATTAAACAAGTAATAAGTTGAAATTCAGATTTACATACCTCCATTGATTTGGGTGAATTGGGTCTAGCGAAGACCGGAAGACCGAAGACAGCAAGACACCCGCCACCAACACCGACACCGCACACCGGCGACACGAACTGTCGTCTGTCGAACTCCAAGTCGCGAACTGGTGATTTGGGTGAACAGAACCGGCGACGGGAGCAGGGGTGGAGCCAATAAAGGGCGGAAGACCGAAGACAGCAACGTCAGCAAGACACCCGACACCGCCACTGGACGGGAGAAGACGCGAACGAACCAACGAAGTGCCGCCGACGAGCCTGACTGCCTGAGAACTCTAAGTCTCCAACTTTCGAACTTCGAAGAGAGAGAAATTGAGAATTGTGAAAGTTAGGGTTTAGTTTTGCAATTTCTTTTCTTCTTCTTTCTGTCTCACTTCAGTTTTTTTTTTAATTTTTTTTCTTTAATTTTTTTTTTTAAAATTTTTTTTTTTGAAAATGGGGGGACAAGTGTCCCCACATGTCCCCTTCTAGCTCCGCCCATGCAATCCACCATATGGGTCTACTTTATCGGATTTATGTCTCTAAACGCATTTCTCTTTCCTATCCAAAAGTTCAAAAAAGGGGAATCATCTACATTTAATTTGCTTAATAATATTGCTTGATGATCTGTGTAGTTACAATCTACCTGAATTTGTGTGGAATATAATGAGTAGATCTTTTGGATAAGAACAATTTTTACGAAAAACAGATATAGTTGTACATCTAATATTAAGGAGTTGATCTTATGAGCCTCTATGCTTGACAAACAGCAATTCAACTATCAAACTGTAATTTGACATAGTTCTAAATTGTCCAATTAATATGGAATCGAGGATGATGATGATAGGTTGTGGCGGCCTCATCGGTCTTGTGTCCGTTAACCTCCAAGGGGAACTCCAATTAGGGCTGAGCAAAACTACCCGAAAAATCGAAAACCTGTTCTGTAAACGTTTTGTAAATTAGGGTACCCGATCCGATAAACATAACGGATTAGGTACTCGTTCTGATAATTTGTTATCGGGTATGATTATTGAGTATCATTTTAAAATTAACGGTTACCCGATCCGATCCGATAAACAATTTTTTTTTTCTCCTTTCCTACTTAAATCTATTTTTCCAAAATCTAAACTATTACTTTACTTAATAATCACTTTATAATATCAATGATTAGTAATATTATTAATAATTTGGTCAAGATCATGTGGTATTGCTGTTAATTAGTGTTAATTGATATCATAATAATTACATTATTAAGTTTATTTATCATTATTGGATCTTATTGAGTACCTGATAATCGATTCGAAAATCCGGATACCCGAACTTATTGATTCAGTTTATGGATATCACTTTTAGTGATATTGGTTATCGGTTATCCGAACCGTTAGTACTAACAGTACGGGTACCCGTGCCATACTCACCCCTCTCCAACCCTCCAATGCACAAGATGGGTACAGTCCCAAAATGGAGCCTCCAAAACATAAGTCAGTTGACATCTTGCCGTGTATAGTTAGAGATTTATGAGCAATATAATATCCTTTGGGCCTCATATATATACGTAGTATATTGTAGGCTATGTTAATTATTAATGGGTTGGGTTGTTATTATATGTAAATCACGTACAACTAGCCCCAAAGTGGGTACAAATTAGTTATATAGTGGTCACTTTTGATATATCTATACTTAGTATTACCTCGTTTTATATTATTTGCAACGATTTGACATAAAGTGTGAAATGTCAAATCGTTGCAAATAATATGAAATGAAGGTAGTATTTAAAAACTCAAACTAAAAAGACATGTGTTCCTATCCTATCATACTTTTTAATTTTCTCTTTTCCAACCCAATGCCACGTGTCTTCTTACATTACATTGTTCTTCATCTCCTCAAAATAAAAAAAACTGTAAATTCTTACTATTTTACCATTAAATAGAATTTAAAATTAAGTAATGCATTGTCGGACATAAATGACCATAACCCCGATATAATAACCTACTAATAATTAGTCAGGGAAAATAACCCTACAACTTCCCTAACTCCTAAACCATTAAAGAATTAAAAATTAACTCCATTAAAGATTACATACCATTAACACTATAAAGAACAAGAAAACAATAAAATAAAAACTATAGTGACCCAACAAAGGAAAAACAATATACTCCCAAACCAAACTCTCCAATCTTGACCAAAGGAAGTCCAAAGGAGATTTCAGAAGAAGTCCAAAGGCAAAATATGATGAAATTAAGGGCCTCGAAGAATTGTAACAATCGAAGGTATAGTATAAATTTTTTTTTTTTGCTAATTCTACACAAGATATTCACACTTCTTCTAAAAAGAGGCACACTGTACTCTTTATTTGACACATATGTCATATGATCTCATCAAAATACGAGGAATCTACATTGCAGACTTGGATATAACAAAAAGAGATTGGAGAATAACTGCAAGAATCATCTGAATGTGGGATGTGCGCTACAATACAACAAATAATATACCAGAGGCTATAGACATTGTGTTGCTCGATGAACAAGTATTAATAACACACCCAAATTATGAGTATCAAAAACAGCCATGCCTACTCAGAGTACAATCACAAATTTTTTCGTGTTGCAAATGTACAGAGAACTTAGATTCAAGCAGTGGTAAGAAAATACACCAAAATAACAAAAGGCAAACGAAAAGAAGTGAAGCCCGATATCACCACAACGGATAATACAAGCAAAAAAATAAAAATGAAAAGGTAAAAAACAAGCAACATCAAGTTTAAACAAAAATAATCCAACAAATTTAACTACATTTTTTTATATTTTTCCCAACTAAGTGAAGACAGATGACACAATATATCTCAAGAGGCAAAGACCATGCCATGAGAGATGGAAAAGTCCAAAAAGAAAGCAAAAAATCATGACTTGAAGATGAGTGCTAATTTTGAAATAATTTCATTTCATTCTCCACATATCCTATGTAACGATAGTTACCTTAAACACATATTCAATATTATTATTTTCATCTATCTTTCTAATTATATTTAGTAATTTACCCCATGAGTATCAACATTAAAACGTTATTGTTGTACATAAGAAAGAAAAAAAAGAAACAAACTATTATTAAAAAGTCATAGTCTAACTAACACATCGATTGCATGACAAGTAAAAATTAAAACCGCTCACTAATTAATTAACGATCGTCGACCAATAATATTAATATTTAATAATTATATACACTACATACACCTAAGTATCTTACCCCATTGCTTCAAAAAAAAGTATCTTACCCCATTTTTTCATTCCAAATGCACAAAGCACTCAATATCCAAATTCAAACAAATTAAAAAAAAAAAAAAAAAAAAAAGAAAACCCCAATAATAAGGTTGTACATTGTACGGGCTAAAAGCCTAGTTTATATAATAGAGATTACATGTAACACACTTTAGTGTTGCTCCTAGCTAGTAAATTTAATTCTGGTGGATTGTAGAATAAAAACACAGAAACATTAGCATTCACAGGAATAAAATGGCCTAAATAACAATAAGTACTTATCTGATATAATTACGTATTACAACAAATTTGTAAATACTCCTACTTGATCTTGTCAAAGGGGATATAAACTTCATTGGACAATACAAGAGATATAACATTAGGAAAAAAAAAAAAAAAAAACCTAGAAAGTTGTGTTGTGAAAAAGAGATCAAGTTAAAAAAGACTCACACACTCCAAAGCTAATGATTATAGTAAAAAGAAATGTTTATATCCTACTCTAGAACTATGTAACTTCTTAAAAATAAAGGCTGTGTTTGTTTCAAGGGAAAAGTCTTTTCCTGAAAATAGTTTTCCTATTTTTTACTGTTTGTTTTGGTCCGGCCCATAAAACGGAAAATAAGGCTAGAAAATACTTTTTCATTGAGGCCCAAATATTTTCCCCAAGAAATCGAGGTATTTCGTATTTCCCATCGTCTTCAACTCTTCACTGCTTCACGCTCGCTGCTCTCTCTCTCATCTTCAAGCTCTGAACGCTCGCTGCTCTCTCTCCCTCTCATCTTCAAGCTCTGCGTGCTCTCTATCTCATCTTCATCGCCGTGAAGATCTGCTCTCACAAGGTAATTTCCAATTTATTCTGTGTCCTTTCTTTGATTGTTTGCTTCTTTATTTGATTCAACATCTCTGCTCTCGAAATTCTTGGTTAGGTTTGTGATTAATTTGGATACAATTTATGATTTGTTTATTTTAATCTGGTTTAACTTTGAAGTAGAATTAGTTTGTGCTATTGAAATTTTTGGGTTAATTTAGCAGTAGAATTAATTTGATGCATTGTATAAGATATTTAGGGTTTGTTAAATCAAAATCGAAATGGTTGTGATTGTGGAGAGGTGCGGCTGCGGGTTTTGGTGATGGTGTGCGAGGGAGTGGCTCGGTGTTGTTAGGTGATGGATCTAGTGGGCGGTTTGAGGTGTGGTTTGTGTTTCTGGGTTGGGTTTGTGCAGTAACTGGTGTAGAAGGTGTAGTGTATGCCTTGAAGAGTCTGCTGAAAGATATTGCTGATCTACTTTCATGCCCTGCGTCAACATATTTGAGTTACATGTACGATTTATTGTGTTTTTAAATCAGAATTAGTTTTTACCAAGACCTCAAGAATATGCAAAGCCTAGACGAGTTTTTCCCACCAAATGACTGATATTTTATGGGGGATGAATTGAACCACCAGAAAATATATTTTTCAGGTTTTTAGCTTCTGCATTTGGATGGGTCAAATTCTTTTACAAGGTCCATCTATGTTACTTGATTAATACAGTGTCTAAATTAATTAAACAATAATCAGCTTTTTGTATATGTCACTTGTGTATAACCATCTCAAAACACAATTTAAAAAACTCTAGGTGCTGCTCTCAACTTAGTATGAAGTAGATATATGTATTGTGTAGCATAGATCAGTACAGGTACGATGATCAAGTTGACCATGGACTTGTAAGCCAGTTAACCATGTTTGTTGTCACCTAGTTTGTGGTTTTGATGTCTGTGTTATAAAATATACTTAGTATATGGTATAATATATTGTTGTATGCATAATGATGGGGTGGTGGTTTGATATAGTATTCATGCTCAATACTTGGAAATGATATTCTAATTACCATCAATCACCATAATTTTCTTTTTTCAGATTAGTATTAGTTATGGAACCGGAGCGTGGATTGTCTACCCAAAAATCATCTAAGGTATAACTTTGCCCAAAAACCACTATCGAATTAATATACATATAAGTATGCTTAACCTTTTTTATTTTGATGGAATTGATGTAGATGACTAATGATACTAAAGGCATTGTTATTGGCGCTGTGGCTGCTTATTGCTTGTTCTCTTGCTTTTCTTAACGAGCGTAGGTCTAAAACAAGAAGGCTAAGAATAATTAGACAACCCTACATTAATAGAGATAGTCTGAGGTCGGAGATTGTTAATAGTGTTTTGTATTGTGATGATACTCATTGTTTGGGTCAGATCCGTATAAGGCCTCAGGCATTTTTCAATTTGTGTTATATTCTAGTTGAAAGAGGACTTTTGAAAGAAAATACTCGAATAGGTGTTAAAGAACAAGTAATGATTTTTTTTATACATTTTAGGGCATAATGTAAGATTTAGGGCAGCGGGGGGAAGATTTTTACGATCAATTTGGACCATACATCATTACTTCCATGTTGTTCTTAAAGCCATCCTTAAATTGTACCTAGAATTTGTCAAACCACAAGCCTCTCCACTTCCTTTTGAAATTCAAAACAACCTTAGGTTTTTTCCTTGGTTTGAGGATTTCATAGGAGCTATAGATGGGACACATATACGTGCATCTGTCCCCATTGAAATGCAAGGTCGATTTCGTGGTAGAAAGGGTGGGACAACCCAAAATGTGCTAGCTGCTGTTGATTTACGTATGTGCTGGCCTGGCCGGTTGGGAGGGTTCTGCTCATGACTCAAAGGTCTTGCAAGATGCACTCAAAAGGGGATTTAAGGTTCCTAAAGGTACTTTAATATTATTATTTTTTTTGGTTTCTTTTATGCATTGGTTATAAGTTAGTAACTATGACAAATCTCTTTAAATTGTAGGAAAGTATTACCTTGATGATGCGGGGTATGGTGACCGTAAAGGATTCATGCCTCCATATAGGCGTATTCACTACCACTTGAAAGAGTATACAACCAATCCACCTGAATTATTTAATCTTCGACACTCCTCACTAAGAATGGTTTTGTAGAGAGCATTTGGAGTATTAAAGAAGCGATTTCGTGTCTTAGATGCTGAGTCATTTTGGCCGTATGAAACCCAAGTAAATGTAGTTCTAGCATGTTGCGTGTTACATAACAACCTTAGAGGTGTTGACCCAAATGACCCAATTACAAGAGAAGTTGAAGTAGAGATGGCATCACAAGATTTACAACACATGGGGGAAGCACGTACTCGAAGGAAAGAGCAGGAAGAAAATCAACAAATCGAAAGAAAGAGAAAGACCATTGCAATGGCGATGTGGACTGTATACAAGAAGACTTGTATTTGATGGGCTTAGCATATGCATTTTTAAGATAATTAGTTCATAAATTATGTATTTTAATTCTATAACATTTTATTTTTTAAAGACAATATTTCCAGTGATTATGTATTTTCTATCAACTTTTTCATATGCGATACCTTACTAGAGTTATTACCTGTTTCAACTTTTTCATTTAGTGTTTTGCATCAATTTTATATTTCTTATATATTATTATGTTGTTTTTTTTCCAGATTCTAATGCTAAAGTGATTGTTCCAGGTTGTAAAAGAAGAGAAAAAGACTAACTTTTGCTGGTCAAAGGACATGTCAAAAGAATTACTCGACTTTTTAGCCGAAGAAGTTAAAAAGGGAAACCGGCCTAATAATACTTTTCGAACAAGTTCTTTTGTGGCTGCTGCAAAGATTATCTCTGAGAAGTTTCAAACCAATTGCACCTCAGAACATGTGGAGAATCATATGAAAACTGTGAGGAATGCATGGGTGGCTATATCAACAGTCCGAAACAACTCCGGGTTTGGATGGAACGATAATTTGAAGATGGTGATAGCATCTCCCACAACATATGCTACTTATGTTAAGGTAGTGCTGTTTTATACGCTGGAAACATGTTATTATTCACCCTTAAATAGCTGTCACTCCCCATTTTCTCTCTCTTTTCTTGTTTTGCTTAGCTGTAATTATGCTTCTGGATTTGTGTTAATATGATAATGCACCGACCAATATTGTTCATTTGCATACTTCCTGCATTATATGAATAGATTACTATTGTTTGTTGATTGTCTGAGAATATGTACTAGCTGTTGCTAGAAAAAAGGAAATGGTATAAAAGTGACAATGGGATCAGTGGCTGAATCTTGAAACAGGCTTGTGAGGGTGACTATATTTCAGCTTCCAACTTAAAGCTCTATCAAGTAGCCAATGTAGGATGTTAATATGATATCAGCCTCTGTACAAACTAACTTTTTGGCCCTATAATCTGATCTTTGGAGGAATATCCAAAATATGAAAAGTTTTTGAATCGAAAAATTGATATGTATGAAGAGATGGCTATAGTATTGGGTAAAGATTTAGCACGGGGGAACTTCTCCAAGACATTTGCCGACATCGATGTTGATGCTTCAATGGAAAGTGGACAACCAAGTATGACTAATGATAGTGTGCCTTTCAAGGCTGAGAGTGGTACCTCGTTGGGCTCAAGGCCACATCGAAAGAGGTCTCGAATTGACGAAGGATCGGAAATGGAACACATTTCAGCACAACTTCAAGAAGTGGTTAGTGCTCTCAAAATTTTTTCAAACAATCAACTTGATGTGGAAAAGCTTTATGACGAAATTATGAAGATGGAGGACATATTGCGGCTTTTGATCACTTGGTGGAGCGCGAAATGCTTGCAAAAGCATTTTTGACAAAAAGCTTGCCACTATGCAAACTTTGGATCGAAAAGTTTGTCAAAGACCATAGGCATTAAAGTCTGCTTGCTGCTTTTACTCCAATTTCTGGTAGTTTGCTCTTGCTGTCTTCAAGGTTACTGCTCTGGTTGCAATCTGCTGCTTGGTTTTGGTGCATTCTGCTTTGCCTTTTGTTTCCTGCTTCCTGTTGCTGTTCTGCTATAACTCCTATGCTGCTACCTGGTGTTTATGCTGCTGCTTCAGGCTGTTGGAAGCTGCTTCTCCTGCTCCCTAGTTTGCTGTTGGCTGCTATATGCTGCTTGGTCTGCCCCTGTCCTTTCTACAACCGTTTTTCTTTTCTTATTTTTTTGCTGTTTGTTTGGCTTGGGTATTTGTATTCTTGGGTATTAGCAGAAGTTTTTTATTATTAGTTTGAAGTGGTTAACATTTGTAGATCAAATATGAAGAACTATAGAATTTTAGCTTTTAAATCATTTACAAGGATGTTTTTCATGTTCTCTTCTTGACTTACAGTCGAGGGCCGGGCTTGGCTTAATTTACAGCTTAATTTAAAAACAATTAGGTTCACAAACAATAAAGTAACAAAAAGAAAATTGTTTTAAAAGGAAAATGAATTTCCAAACAAACAATTTCCAAACAAACAAAGAAAAATGGGATTCATGGAAAATGAATTCCAAACAAACAAAGGAAAATGGGATTCTTGGAAAATGAATTTCCTTACAAACAAACAAAGGAAAACTAAACCAAATGTGAGTTTTCCTCCGGAAAATGGATTTCATGGAAATTCATTTTTCATTAGATTTATTTTCCGTCAAAACAAATGGAGCAAAAGTATAATAGTAATATGTTGTATAACTTTCTTTTATCCCAAACTTATAAATGTACTTAGTGAAGAGAAAATTAAGAAGAGAAAAGAAAATTTCAAACGTTTAACGCTAGAGTTGTCATTGAAAACACTAGTATGTTTTATCAACCATTGTGACATAACTTGATATGCATGTTGAGTCAAATGCACTCCATCCCAACTTACGCGTTTGTAAGGATCTTCACAAACAGGAACTCCTTTAGTCCCACAATTAGCACAACAAGCATTTAGCATAACATCCTTGTCAAACCCTACATGCAATCAATCACATTTTTTTTTTTAATTAATTACATGCACTCGAATATACGTATATACCGATATAATTGAAATTCAAAAAAGAACGTGATTAGGATACACGAAGTAGGTACTAACCATAGGAGGTAGCATGTTGGAGAACTTCTTGTAAGGCTGAAACATAGTCCGCGTACACAATTGTTACATCCAGGTGATCCTCGCGAACTTCTTTAATAGCTTCTTGTAGTTTATTGTTATGAAATTCCGCAAAAGAATTCAAATCTTTTAGACATTGGAGATCGTCATACATACTTTTGTCATTTGTTTTAAACATGTTAAGGTAAATTGTCATGCAACCAATGGGAAAGTTTCCGGGAACAACAATTCGAATGGCTCCAAGCTTAATCACTTCCTGCAAGAACAATAAAAACCACCAACAGATTAGGATACATGAATAAGAACTACAAAGTATATCAAATACTACCTCCGTTTCTTTTTAATTGCAATAAAGGTAATACCTCTTTATTACAACTAAAAAGAAATGAAGATAATTAAGTACTTCGTAAGTAATACTGAGTACTTATAAAAGGATAAGAAGATGATCACCTTTATGGCCAATTTTATAGCTTGCACAACTTCAGGCACTAGCTTATAGATTTCTGTTATTGACATTTTTTGAAAAAAAGCCCAATTATAGTCATTTCCTCCAATTTCACCCATCATAATAAGTGCCTTTGCAAGTTTTCCCTTGCATTCTAAAGTTATAAATGAAATCAGAGATGTTAGTAATCAAATAATATATGAAGTAATATTCTTAAGACTTGACACAAAATAAAAATAGGATTTTTTTGTAGGAGACTACCTATTGATTTTGTAAGAAACTACCTAATATAAAAAATGTTGTAAGAAACCACCTAATAAAAGGTAAAATGCTGTAAAATACTACCTTGGGCCGGATTTCCATTGTTGTTGACCAAATTTTCCGGCATTGACCTACCTCAAAACACCATCGAAACCACCGCGAGGGTTGGTTTTCAAGGTGGTAAGGCTATTTTCGGGGTGGTATGGGTATATTCCGAGTTGGTGGGGTAGTTTCGGGCTACGAGATGGTGGTTTGGGGTGTTTTGAAGTAGGTCAACGCCGGAAAATTAGGTCAACGGGGGAAATCCGGCCAAAGGTAGTATTTTACCTTTTAATAGATAGTTTCTTACAACAATTTTTTATTAGGCAGTTTCTCACAAAATTTTAGTTTTATTAGATAGCTTCTCACAAAAAATCCATAAACATATAATTTGTTGTCAGTATATGTAGCTACCATATTGTTGATTAAAAGGAATACTTGAAATTAGGGGAGTGGGATAACGAGATCACTACCTCTAAGTATCCCCACTTGATTAGATTTGGATCCTAAAACTCTAGAATCTAAGGAAGATTTTTTTTTTTTATCAAGTGAGCCAAACTAACCCTTGTGTTGTTAATGAAATAGGTAAATACTACAAGTATTACACATTTAATTAGGAGACCTTTCTCATGAGAGATACTCCTAACATGAACTAGTGTATTATATACTATTTTATCTAAATGAGTAAATTATACAGTGATGACAAAGGTTAACATTAGGAGATCTTCCATAAATTCAGACTAGTGTTAATATATATCATATTTGTTCAAATTGGATAAATTCACAAAAAATTAAGTTCATAAAAGCATTATCCAAATTCAGTTTACAACTCTATTAAATTTTGATAGGTTCAAATTTAGAAATTCAAACATAAGTTTTAAATAAGCTGAGTTAAATTTAGTTTATAAGTAAAATCAGGTATATAAAATGAATCAAATATTTTCCATCCAAACTCACATAAGGAGTATTATATTACGTTTGTTGCACACAATTTCCCTATCTAATGAATGTCTATTATCATAAATGATGTTTAGATTTTAAAGACAAATATGCAAGTTTCATAGATTAATCATTAATGAGAGCATGCATTTTTATGGCTATAATGGGAAAAAAAAAATAATAATAATAAGTTGAGCATTTTTTACCTGAAGCACTAGAGCAAATGGAATGAAGATGGGACTTAAACCAATCAAGCTGTACAAATAAGGAGGTATTTGTGGCGTGATAACTAATATTGTTCTGAGCTAAAGTAGAGACGTTGAGTGCAGTCGATCCAGCAACAGCAAAGTTTACCCCATGACTAAAGTTACCATCTTTGTTAAGATACGGATCAAGATATGGCAGCTTAAAGAACTCGGCTGCATTGATAACAACCAACTATAAGAACTCGACTTGTTACCCTATAATATAATTTGTTTTACTAAAATTGCAACACTTTAAGTTTTGACTTTTGAGATATCGTCATAAAACAACCGAAACACTTTTTTTTTTCTTAAAACTTTAACAACTTAATGAAATGAAAGAAGTCTTCATGTGATGTCACAACTTAATCAATCATAATAATTAATAAATAATTGATTCGATAATAAGGCGATTCTTACCAAAATAGTCAATCATAAGAAGTCCATCTGAACAACGACCGGTTGGCTTGTGGAAGAAAGTTTCTCCATACGGTAATTTTGCAAAGGAAGATCGTGGATCTTCACGTATAAAGTTGCCTGTATCTGAAATTGAATCTCCAAATTGATAAATGGCTTTGATTGTTCTGTGTGATGCACAAATTGTGAATATACGGAATAATAGTAAACATAGTTAAAAGAAAATAAAATGATCACTGGCCAACAATTGGGTTTAGATTTAAATTGACTCTTCTGGCAAATTGAAAATTCTATTATATATTAGGGTATACCATGCTTGGTACACCTTGTGGAAATCTACAACAGTTCTTTTTTTTTTTTTTTTATTTTAAAAAATGTAACTAATTCCTTAATTAATTAAAGCATTATGTTATTCTCTTCCATATTTATACCTTTCTAAATTAGAAATTCTCTACATTCATTCATTTTTGAATTTCAAAAACAGAGAGGAAAAATTGTTGAGAGAGAAATTGAATATTTAGAGAGAGAAGTAGGAGTTTAATAGCAAAAATGGCGGTACGGCACGAATTTCGTCATGATTTAGATCCCTGATTTTCATTAAAACTAGTTTTTGCATTTTTTCTGAATTTGCTTTATTTTTGGAGGTTGAAGACGATGTTCATCGGATTATGATGAATGTTCTTTTTCATTTTTTTGATACATATTTACTTTTTATCATTTTGATGAGTATGTTCTTTAAGTTTGATTAATATATTTTATGGGTCTAAACTATATGTTCTTTACATTACAAATTATATTATTCAAGGTATGTAGAATAAAAATACTCTTTTGTTAAACTTTTATTATGTGCTTTAAGGCCTACGTTTTTTGAATTTATCTCTTATGTTATTTGAACTTGACCCGTATGTTCATATGATTTTTATGTTATTTTTAATTATTATTATGATATTTATTTTAAATATCATTTATTAATTATGTATTATTTTGTATATTTATTATCATCTACTCCCTCCGTCCCTAAAAGAATAACCCTTTTGGCCAAATTATAGTCCCATAATGTTCATCCCATTTGCATTTAAATACCCTCCAATTTGTAATAATATTTGTGCAAAATTAGCTTCCCCATGCAAATTTTGCTTTTTCTATGTACTTTTATTAATTTATCTCTCTATTTTTTTGCAAATCCCATGTAAAATTCCCTTTTCAATGTATTTTTATTAGCATCCCCATACACTCTTATACTTTCAATATAAGTTTCTTAATACCCGTGAAAACTCCTTAAAAGGGTCATTTTTTTAGGGACGGATGGAGTAATTGTTTTTTTTTTTCTTTTTGAAATCAGGATCATAAAGGTTGATAACGATATTTTTTTGGGACCTCCTCTAGTGATAAAGAACATTCGTAATATTAATGAAGAACATGATTATATTATGTAATGAACATTATGTATATTTTTGTAATGGGGCAAAAAATAAGAGACGAAGGGAGTACTACGTGGCTCGTTTTAATTAAATTTTGTTCTCATTTCTGTTAAAGCTAGCTCCACTTTTGCACCGAAAAGTAGTTTCATTTCTGTTCACTCAATCACTAATATTCTCTTGTCATTCTTCCCCTAATCCTTTTCTGAGCACTAATATGAACCAAACAACATAATCATAAAAGGTGACAAAAACTCCAAAAAGAAGTTGCATTTGATCACTATATACATATGTACAATATCGACAGATTTTAGATATCTCGTGTACCTTATTAACAGAATTTAAAATCACTACACTTTCACTTTGATCGAGTGCAACTCAATTAAGGTATACCCGTGAGTCAACGCATTGGTTTCATACTTTCAAGCATCGCCACATAAAAGTCAAATCCATTTGGCACT